CTGATTCTCTGTCACTTTCGTCATGTCATGTAATTTTGTTCTTGTATCGGTTATATTGTCACTGTCACTTTCAATGTAGTTATGGTTTCATTCACAATGTCACTGAATCTGTCAAGTTCAATATTGAATTTCTATCACTTTTAATGTGTAACCTCTTTCATTTTCAGTGTTGTCATTGTGCTACAGCCAAAATGTAACTGCATCCTTCACTTTTAATTAATGTTGATATGTTGTCAGTCACAGTCACAATGTCACTGAATCTGTAACATTCAATGTTTTCATTTTCAGTCAAGATGTCACTGAATTTGTCGATTTCATTGTCGACATTGTGTCATTCACAATGACACTTTTCAGTCAGTTTTGTCTCTCACTGTGAATCTCTCTCACTGTGACACAGTTGCTATCAATGTTTCTGTCTCTGTTTTACTCACTGTCACAGTGTTCGTTGTCTGATTTGTTACTATCAAATTAGCTGTCACCATTTCTCCAGGCTGATATTATTTTACAACAGTAACCTTCATGCCTTCACCAAGGTAGTCAATATAGTGATGTTTGGCGAAGTACTTAACTGCTCGAAAGTCACGATATTTCAAAAAACAGATGCCATATTCAGGATTACCAATGTCATATGCTTGATCTTCATTCCAACTATCACTGTTGAATGCATATACGTATGTTCTCAAAATCTTTTCATGCACAGAGAGTGCCTCTTCATCTGTGAGAATGAAACAATACATTTTACCGTTGAACACCTGTGCCCCAGTTACTTCACCAGTACACTTCAGATCAGCAACTCTACACCAGATATCAATGTCTGGATCATATCGTAATACAGTGTGCTTGCCCAAATTTGCTGAGGATTTTACTCCAAGGACGTAGATGAAACCATTCAGTGAAACACTAGGACAATTTTGAAATGGTATCGGGGCAGAAGCGAGTCTCAACCAGCTATCTGTTGATGGGTCATAGCACCAGTTGTCAGATCTCTCTCTTGACTGGGCATCCTCTCCACCAATCACGTACAGCTTCCCAGCATGCACTACAACTGAAGCATCGAAACGACTGTCGGGTACAAGAGAAATCACTTCTAGCAGACCTCCATCATTCTCAGTCAACAGTTTGCCGAACGAGCAAGTGTTTTCAATAATGTATAACTTATCATTGACATTAATAACTGTACCGCCATTGTGTTCGATCTGTTTGGTGATTTTTATCCAGCGTTTGGAAACAGCTCCGAAGTACCACATGGAGTGTTCGCCAGTCAGCAGGTATGTTTCTGTTTCATTCATTGTTATCACCGAGTTCACAGGTTCACCCATATCAGGTTCAGTGGCATGGTGTTCATACTGGTCATTTAAAGGATCTATGTAGGTTAGCTGAAGACGGCATTGGTTGTAATTCCGAGTGGAAGTAAATACAACACCTCTTTCATATCTTGGATCATGCAGGTCAATTTCACTGATTGGTATACTGCCATTTTCTTCTTCACATACCACAGTTTCGTTAACATCACCGAAATATCGTCTTCTTACTTTCAATGTCTGCGTCAAGTAATTCACAACTTCTGAATGTTTCATTATTAAGTTGTTTTGTAGAAGATTTCTTATGAATGACACTGACACAACTGTTATTTTCACCAACTTCATCAATTCTATTATAGCTTCTTCTCTGTCCTCGAGATTAAACTCCACCCATCGTAACAGTGATGTACAAAGAATTTCTTCATTCTCAACGATCACATCATCATCTTTCAAGTAACCAATAAGAGCATCTCGGTTCAACTGCAGGAAGTCATCACTTTTGCTGACATCACAGAAATTATGCAGAATGAAACTATTAGCGATGTCTTTTAAATACAGGATGGAGTATACGTCTGCCAGCTGTAGTATTTTGAAGCAATCTAAGCGCCCAAGTTGTGATTTCAGAAAAGCAGTGCATACTCTGGCCAACATCGGCATTTGGAAAACACTTGCCGCATGTAGTAGTGCCTGCACGTTATCTCCATCCACATCCACATGGGATGTGTAAACGTACTTCAGCATTAGTTCCACAGCCAGTGGTTCAATATCTTCAATGGTGATTTTATGTGAAGAGCTTTCACGCATACCGCTTGTGAACATTGCTTTGAAATACGGACTGCAACAAGCCAAGACATTGCGATGACAAGGAAACTCTCGATTTTGAACAACTAATACTACATCCGTCAGCTCACAGTGGGTGTAAAGTGAGTAAAGTCCCGTCAGTATTGTGGTGGAGTTCTGTATATCGTAGTAGGCTAGGCTGCTGCTGGTCTCGGAGTCTGAGTCATCTGACATTGCAGCCATTGTTCTATAGGTCGTCTTCTATCATACAGTTCTGCAACACAAAAAAAAGATATCACTTGAAAGCATTCATCCATGTACTCTATATACTTATCTGACATGATCTATTGAAACATACTTAGAAGCCATTAGCAGCCACAAGTTTTTCGGCATGTGCATGTATCAATCAAGTTAATATGGCTGTAACAGCATACATTTTGTTTCTCATACGGAATGCATAAATTATTCATCAACTGCTCACCTGGAGTCTTTAGCCACAATGTTTATTTTCGAAAAAAATAATTATAAATAATTATTCAATGGTGTTCTATTTTCATGTGAGAGCAACATCATAGACCTTACAGTTGAGTATATGATAACATAGCATATTTTTGGTTCAGGTAGGAATAGTTTCCTTTTCAGAGTGCATACAGACACTTACACCTGTGTGATAGTCAGATTCACCAGAAAGTACTAAAAATGGTAAGAATTTTACTAGAAAGTCCCAAAAACAGAAAATTCATAAATCAAATGGCACAATTTCAGTCCTGGGTGGCACTAAGTTTTAAAACCTAGATCCGACACTGCTTTTTCAAGCATGTGACAGTGTTAAAAAACCTACATGACTCCTCAGCAATGTTCATGACTGTTACTGAATGCCATAAAAGTGTCAAAAACATCTTTGTTAATTTGGTATCACATCTGGCTTTCAGCCAGCCACCTGTCCACTTGCCATTTTAGACAGGCACTCCACACATTTTAGACAGGTGTTCAATTTCATTTGAAAGGCAAAATTTCTACAAAGCTGTCCAATTTTGATTGATAATTATCATTAAATAATCATAAATAATCCACAACAAATTCACTTGGTACTGTAACCCATAGGGCTATTGGGACTGCTATCTTTCATTTCGATAAAGTTTTTAGACAGACACTTTTAATTTTCTGGGTATAAGTTTAACCCTGTACCATATGTACATAATTTCTCATTGCTTACATGTTTTGACGAATTCTGTTGAGAAAATTTGGAAATTATACTGATTAATTTGGTGAAAGGTGTCAAAAGTCGAGCATAATTCACAAACGAAAATATCTAGGTGAATTGTTTTCTAACAGTTTTTTACAACCACAACAATTGGCGTTTTGGTTCGGTCTAAGACCACACCAACTGAGGCGTTATAACGACCATGAAGCTAAATCTTTGGACAGACCGAGCAAAATCAGATATTGAACAACAATCTCGCCAACACTGCGCACCAACGTAAAACCAAACGCCGGGCGAGATAGAGCGTTTATTTCTGGAATTGACGGACTGCGGACAAACCCAAACACCTGCCATATGCAATCTCGATAAAAAAATTACTGCACGTACCTGCTTCGAACACCCATCAGAATCTTTTACCTGTGATGTTCGTTAAATGACTCAACCCCGTTCTGAGAAAGTCACAAACAGTAAGCCCGAACCGCTGCTAGGGGTCAAGCATCTAGCTCTAACAAGCGCCCCCAATGGTGACATGCCGCGTTATTGCTAGGGAAGACCGTTCAATGTTTCAGAGGGGCGACGTTGTTCCTAAATTTTTTCAGAGTTGCAATTAAAAATGTATCGTGGAAGGCAAACCACAATTATAGAAAAGAAGCCATAGATAATGTAAATTATAAATACCACACTGGTGGGATACCAGTTAGTTAGTATTAATTCACTTTGCCCTATTTAAAGGGCAGTGGTCGTCGCGCAACGCGTTTTCGATTTTCATGTAAACAAAGAATGTATTTTACACGCGTTGTATACGCTGTACGAGTCCCATATCGAACAGGACGGGGCGCGACAACCATCGCCCTTTAAGTTGTTATAACTAACATATTTTTAAATGGTATGACTATATATAATCACTTTCACAACTGTTTTCAGCAAATTTAAAAAAATAAATGACCTTTAATTAGATTATTATTTGCAATAGATTAGTTAATTGATGACTTCTTTTATACAATTCAACAAACCCAATACTACCAATGTATTTAGACGATTTTAGTGCAACATGGGATTTTCTGTTTACTACAAAATTTTGCCTATTGGATGAAATGCACAGACTGAATGTCAGCTACAAAAATCAAACTATTTTTTTCACATCAAAATTGACCATCTAGTGTGTATAGCACATTAAAAAGCGTGGGAATACCACCAAAAAACATTTGTCAAATATCATGCAATTTTTTGATGTCACAATAACTTTTTAAAACGTAGGATCTTGATGTTGGCCGAAAATGGTCTATATGAGCAATAGTAAAGAACCCAGTGCACGATCATCAACTCATCAATGTTCTTGAGTTAGTGATATGCAGATGAATACACACAACATTGTACCAGAATAGGTCTCAACATTTATTAATACAATATTTCTGGGTTAAAACAAAATGGCCATAATTTTGAATCTCGTGTGCAAAGTAAAACTACGAGAATCAAGGTCCTATACTGTATGTATATGTACCAAGTCTGAACAAACTGCTTAACTGGTTCCAGAATCACAGAAATGCTTGATTTCGAAAAATTTAATGTGCATATTTATCTAAAGATGTATGATGTCTGTGTGAAGTTTGACCAAGATTGGTCAAGGCATGTCTAAGATACAGGTGTGGACAGATAGACAGATACATACAGAGGCGATATCATAAGCTCCTGTTTTCGGATCGTCCAAACAGGGACTAATAAGAAGTACAAGAGACAAATCTGTTTTTTTTTTTTTTTCGATAAGTTTTATCAAAATATTCTTTAATACAAATTCTATAAATCTTAAACAATGATTGTAGCACTCATTAAAACAACTCCATTGGGAATAACATTTTCAGAAATGTACTCCAACTCTGAATTCATGTGATATAAGGGGTCCATAACACATGAAATGTGTAATATTCTTAGAAAAATCATTTGTATTATTGACCCCTCAGCTTACATGATAGTGACACAGCCGTAGTAAATCCACCACCTCTTCCTCAGTTAAAATACTGATAAAAATAAAGGAATAACAACCACCACATAATATTTTTTCCTTCAAAACATTCTTACTATAAACTGAGAATCATTTTCCTTCATGTTTCAAGTGCACAGAATGAGTTCATCTTGGATATATAAAATCCTTGCAATACATCACATGCTCGCTTATGGGCAATGCATGATGGGATTGTTCCGTGATGTTCCAATTGGCATACGGAGTACACAACGCCAATATATCCGTTTGAAATCCCTTGTCCAGGTACAATTCAGGATAAAGTCTCAAGTAATATTAAAATGTCTGCCCATCAGTTAATGGACTACTGGATTGAGAGGTTCAGCTTTTATATTTGCAAGATCTAAAGAATTGTCCGTTTCATCATCTATTTCACCAACTACGGCTCTGAAAGGAGAAAGTGACAAAACAACTTAAAACATTGTATTTGTTTGAATCAGTGACACCAGAAAAACTTCAACTGCACAATTTTTTATACAACATACTAATTTTGAATATATGGATTGTAAAAGTTAAAGATGAAAACTGTAAAACATTTTTACTGCAAAAAGTTAATGTCTTTGAAACATCGCCCATGGGCAATGTTTCAACACATAGGCGATTAATATATCTTGATACTATGATAGTGAAGATAATTGTTTTTTCAAGAGTTCAAATTAATAAGATACAAATCGTCCAAGATGGATACATAGGTACTCCCCCAAAACAATGTAATTCAAGTTTGTTGTTACAACAATTCAGACGCAATCAGAAATTCAAAATTATGTAACTAATTATGTAGCGATGAACTTTCAACCTTTCAAATAATGTGGCGCCAAAGTCATTCAAGCTGTCAAAGCAATGTTTTTTAGTTCTATCTGCTTTTAAACTTTTATTCGCTGCCAAATGCCTGCAGTTATGTTTATGTCACGAGTGATTGAAATTCATGTTTTTGTTGAAATTGCTGCTGAATGATTTGTTGTGATCTCCATTACGCAAGGATCACTAGAGATGTAAGGTGACACATACATCAAAGGATGTCATGTTTTACAACATGTGATTTCTGTGCTATGTTTTACATGAAAAGTTACAACACACAAAATAAAAAGATACAAATGTAAATCTATATTGAACACAGTAAAAGAATATGTTCAATAATTTTTTTGATTAGTCGAAGAGTTAACGTTTTTGTGATACATATCTGTGTTGATGCCTGGCATGAACATGAAAATAGATGATTGTACAAAACAATGAGAAATTAGTGCCAAATGATCAGCATGGTGGACTCCCAAAATATAACCCATTATACAAAACATCGCCCAGGGTCATCTTTCAATAAATACGGTACTAATATAAAATGTGTCAAAGAATGGTCAAAGACAAAAGCATGTATTAAAGAACCAGGAAACAAAATTGAAGTGCAGTAGTATGCCAGCATACTTACATGTTATCACCCCTAATAATATACAATCCTAATACAACTTGTTCTACACCCTGGGATGAACTAAACACTCTTTCATGGCTTTCATCAAGTATTAAATTAATTGTCTGGTCAAATCCCTTCAAGGTTCCAACTATCATTCGCCCATCACTGGTCACCACTGAAATTGTGTCTGTTCAATCTTGCTCAAGGAAAACACTTATTTATTATCAGGTATTGAGGTCATTGATAAACTAAATTTTATTTGTTTAATTTGTGCCCCAAAAATGCAATCAAAAACAGCTTAAATTAAAGTGAATCCACAAGATTTAGTCAGTTCTATAGATAATTAAATGAAAGCCCACATGGTTGTATGAAAAAAAAAAATCATCTGATTATTTAGCGATGAGATTATTTTTTATTCAAACTGACATGGGTGTTCAAAAAGTGTATAAAATCGATAAAAAATAATTTTGAAATTGTTTGCTGGCAATGTGCAGGGGGAGAAAATGATACCTGGCAGTCTTGCAGAATATTACAGAAACAAGGAATTGTTTAGCCTAATGCTCACTACATGCAATTTGAATCAATGCATTAATTAGCGTAATTTTAATTTAGGTAATTCGCCAACAGTCTTATTGCAAATTTATATTTTCTCTTATTTGTGAATGAAATAACAGTTTCTAATGGTAACCTGATAACAATAATGATACTTTGTTAGTAAAACAGTGAGCTATATTGCAATACTGCTGGTTGGGTTGATTTTTCATTCACAGTAACTACATACACACTCTACACTACAATGATTGTTGTTGTATGAATAAATATATATTTAACAGTAACAGCTAGCACAACAAATAAGTAAAAAAATCTATTTTTGATTGTATGTATTTTAATCAGTCCGCAGAGCCACAGCCACAGTAACCATGATATATCATTTACCTTAGAAAACAGGACATGCAACTATGCAGAGACAAAAGAAAATCCAACTTCTTGTGTGCAAATGTGGGTTTTAACCTTGTATATATACACGTATGCATATAACTGAAACAGTTTTGTTTCCTTGTAGAGAAAACTGTCCCTTTTTGTTTCCTGTCCCTGTTTTCATAGTGGAATAAAAACTGTTACCTTCGCAATTTTCAGTTTCACTCGTTTCAATGGAATTGACTGAGCCATTCAGTTTTGATACAATGTAATTATTCTGATTATATTCTAACCACAAAGTTGTCTCATTTTGTGTAACTACACCCTATCTGACTGATGGATCATTCCAGTTTCTATCCACACAACTCCTACAAATGGTTTTCAAAGAAATGGTACCTTTTGGATCCAACTATTAAAGTATAACAATCGCTCCTACGATTCTTGAGTAAAAACCTCCATTTTCTGTATATAGATGGTATTTGAGAAAACCTCTCAGATAAAAGAGAACTTAAACAAAAACAAAAAACACCTCTGCCTATATTGCCTTTTGGATTTACATCTGTGGAAAGAGTTTCTTTTGTACCCCTCATCCCTAACCCTACCCTCCAGCACTCCCCATTCAATTGTACTAATAGTGTAGTGTGTAATAGTGTGTAGATAATCCACCAAAAATAATACCCACGCCGGATTTTTCTGTAATCTGTATATTATTAGTAGCGGTAATATCATCACTCTGATTTGCTCTATTCGTTTGGAGGTTTGGAGAAACTGGAACGCCCCATATGCCATATACCCAGAGTTGTATGTCCCAGTTTTCCAAGGTTTATGGATAGATCTGATCCATGCATAATCACACAGGTGATAATTAACTAATCTACCTAATACAGCTCGACCCGGATCTCGACTTGAAGAAAACAATATTGTCACATTAGTTCACCAAAATAACAGATAGTGATTCATTGAAAGGATACGGTTGATATAACCTTCTAACGCTGACGCCATTATTCGCAATATCTGTCTTAGCTCTGCGGTTACGACAGCTTGAGTATTTGGAGGCTTGTTAAGAGCATACAAATGAAACGCCAAACAAGAAGGTCAGCCAAAACGAAAGCAACCAACAAACGAACACGCTACGTTGGCCCTCGATCCTAAACTATAATTTTGTAAAATCCGTAGACTATATTAAGTTTGGTTGATTTTGACGCACCTTCAATAGTAAACTAAATTATATAAATTATTAGTCTGTAATAAAACAAATATAACTATTTGGATTAAACTTATCAATACGTGGCTAAAACTTAGTCAACAATTGTGAACGAGGGTAAAGTTCAGAGGTCAACATCATGGCGGACGACAGGTATTAAATGTGGGTTTTGTACATGTGAATCGGCGTGCTCAATTTCACAGCGAAAAATGTAAATATATGTTTAGTTATTACATGGACTACTAGACGTCCGTAGTTATTATCAACGTCATATTGTATAAAGTATGTGCTGAATACATTTGCGCTTTGATCGTAATCAGCCTTGTCAGTTCAGGGAGAACCATTTAATGAGGGGGGGGGTGATCAATGTTCGTATTACACGAAACATAACATTGAATTGATTGATGTTAGTATCTCGAGTTGCATAAAAGAACAATCAAATTTGTGTATGTCTTCAGAAATTATTTTAAAGGTTACCCAGATTTTCAGGCCAAATTGTCAGTGTTTAATATGGATTTATTTTAAATTTAATTTTCTCTTCAGTGATGTTTTATGGGCAATCAATGAGGGTTTGGGAAATAATACTTCAAAAGAAATTCGGAACTTTCTCACCGCCAAAACAAGAAACTGAATGATTGACATGTAATAGTTTGTTTTTTCTTTTTCTTGTTGTTGTTGACTTGTAGGTCTCTTTCCACGCCATTTCAAAGTCTAATAAAATATTATTATTATTATGAACCAGGCAACGTCTAGCGATCGAGCGCACCTTACCCAAGTAGTTTATTGACACACCAACTGGCATAAGCATAGAACATTGAAGCATGTGAATTGTGGAAATCTAGGTATTAGTTCACACGCGAGTTGAGTGGGATTCAAGATGGCGCCACACATGATTTGTGTTTCACCGCTGATCACAATGACTCGAAAAACTGTTGAAAGTAAAATTATTTTCAGTTCATTGCCAGAAAACGATTGCCTTATCACAGAACAGCATTCAGAAGACGTTTTATCATGAATGAGTTGTTTCGCTTTGCATAATTTTTGAAACAAACAAAATGGTGATTTCCATTGACTGGAAATGCACCGTTTTTAAACTTTTAGGGTATATAGATTCCTTAAATACTCTTCTGTATATATACATGTTCATCTACAGAGCTCCCTTCATGAGGGGCCTATGACCGCTCTCGCTGCGCTCACTATTATAAAAATAACACAGGGAATACAGGGCACCAAAAGCACAGTGTTTAAGTTAGGTCGTTATCATCATATGTATTTGATTAAAACAAATGATCCAGTATTAAATCAAAAACTAAAATAGTGAAAGACCTATTCATGACTGTTGTCAAATTAAAATATTTTGCCATGTCTTTGTTCAGACATTGGAATTCACAAGAAATGACTGAAAAGCTCCAATGAAGTAATACATGTGGGTATTCATGACACGCTCTGTTTGAAAAGTCCGTTTCCAGATCTGTGATGTACTACAGCAAATATGACACGTATATGTTGGATTGTCATTCCTATCACAAAAGCTAACCAAGGATCAAGCCCTGTGCTCCAGGCCGGGTTTGATGGTTTGAATGGTTAAATGTAGGTTTATACAGTTGTTATTTTATAAACATTGCTTGTTTTTACTTGACTCTGTAGATAACCAGTGGCCCAGATGTTGAGCTGACACGATGGCACTGAGGACTTTGACTAACATTTTTCATGAACTTACTATCTGTGGCAATCCCCAGATATATCAACAAGTTATTAGAAATGGCATGATAACATCATGGTTTCACACCTCATCTATTCTTGGAGGAGTTAACAAATTCAGGAATCCTGATAAGTATACTGTGAAACCAATTGGATTCAACAAAACTGGTGGAAGAGACCACACAGGTATGATACAAGAAGAAGCCTACTGTCGTAATATAACTGAAGACAGAATAGTGTGTCTTTTATGTGTTAATTGTAGAAACATTTGCCATGCATGTACTCAAAAAATGCTATGTGATTGTTTCTTGTATTTGCTGATTGCAATATTCACATGCCATGGGCACTGCATTGCTAGTTGTTTCTGGATAAACTGTGTTATAAATTCTATAAGTGCTTGAAATTAGAAAACACCAAAATAAGACGAGGCGATAAGACAGTATTGATAACTTATGTATTACCTGTACCATGTCTCTAGACATGTGGTGTATGTACTAGTTAAATAGTGATCATGTGATGGTTACGGTATATAAACCATGAGTGATCAAATTTGGTAGTTTCGGCCAATGAAATTGCAACTGTAAATAACCTAATAAGTAACAAATTTATCTGAAACATTGCCCACCATAAAAGATGGTTTTGTTATAGCACCTGGGCAATCTTTTGGTACTGCAAAAACAAATAATTAACATAAAAATTAACAAGGTAGTAAAAAGTATTTGTTTTTTCAAGAGCACTAATTAGTATGATACAATTCGGCATCAGCAGATTTAGTGAGAATTACATTCTCACAACAACAGTGTCCTTTCGATGGAGCTTTTGTGGAAAGTATGCAAATTTGCCAAAAATCAGCACTGACTTCCCAAACTAGGTACATGTACTCTTGTTTTTTCAAAAAATTATATACCTAATGCATGTTTATTGCTAGAATAACACAATTGGAGGAAATTCAAGATATGCAACTGAGAGCAACGTCAACCTAGCAAGTTTGTACTTTATAGGGTCATCCAATCAAAGATGTGAATTAAAGCTATCAATCATTGATGGCATCCATATATGGTAGTGATGAACTTTCAACCATTCATCATGGTGCCAAAATCATTCGGGCTGGTTTCTAATTCTATCCATTTTGAGTGTTTTGTTCTATATACTGTGAAATACTTTATTTTAGCTGGAATTAATTTTCGCTGAAAAAGTATATTCGCTGGATTTTATTTTCACTGAAGCATCGGTTCAGCAAAAATAAATTCCAAACGAAAATAAAGTATTCCACTGTACATTGCTTTAAATCATTTTTTCCCCATGCTACATGCCTGTAGTTATGTTTATGTCATGGGTAAGGAAAATTATGTTTGTTGAAATTGTCGCTGGTACGTGTTGCATAAATAGTTAGCATGTGATTTAAAATTATACTAAAATTACTTTAGATTACCGGGTAATTAATTATTATTGACAATATTTAATAATTACTTTTTTAATAAAATTAATCGGGTGTGCAAATGTCATGGTACCAAGTGTTGATTGTACTATAAGAAAACAGTTGATTGTACAAACAGTGTTGCGAAAAAAGTGTCAAAACACATTGACATTGTCCCAATGCATATAATTTTTTTTTTGTAATTATAGGCAGAATAAGAACACATGGACGTGGAGGTGGACGCAAACAGTGCTACCGTATGATGTGGTTTAAGCGTACTGGCCCCACAGAAGGTGCCCCCTTAGAAGAAAAAGTTATAAAAATTTTGTATGATCCTAATAGAACAGCTAAGATAGCTTTGATAGCAGGTGGCAACCACAAACGTTACATCACTGCCACTGTCAATATGAAACCTGGAGATATCATCAAAACGTCTGGTCACATAGGAAGAATTGCAGGTATGTGACATCCCTTGTGAATGTTGATAACAATGCATGCATGCTACAAACGCAAAGGCTCATGGGTAAACATTTGTTTGTGAACAACGACATGCTAATTTCCAGCACTGATGGTTGCACAGAAAGGCGACAAGAAATGTTAGGGTAAATATAGAGGAGTGGCACCTGTAAGACCCCTCATGGACAAGTGCCTGTGAATAATAATCTCATCTTTAATTCTCAACATGTAAAGAATTTACCAGTTTATGCCTATTGTAGACTGGCACAGTCTGGGCGATTTATTCCTTTTTAAATTTAAACAAGAAAAATTAGCGAAATGGAGGTGTAACCGCGAAATCACCCAGACTGGACGTTTTTGCAGCGCCCTCTGTGGTGAAAGCAGGAACTAGTGTTTTCATACTACATGTACCAGTAGTTTTTATGAGCAGAATGACAGGCAAGAATGTTATCCAATCAGAGTAATTTAACCTTTAAACTATATCTAGTTAACCTTTGTACCTGAAGACTTAACTTTTCTTCAAGTTTCTCGATCATCAATAATAACAAATGAATTACTATTTATAATGTTCCGTACAAAATAATCTAATGGAAAGAAGTAGCCTGCGTGTAGCTTTATCTCGCCTGGGTTACAGTGAAGCGCAATCTGCACAGAAGACAATACTTGATGGTTTTACTGACGGCCGTTTTCGTTGCCCAGAAGCGGCAAATCGATTGCATTTAAAGTTGCTCCATTCTGTTTAGAGGAAAAACAGTTTGGCACTGTCAAATCAGATAACTTGAAAACCATAGTATTTGTCATCTCTCCTTTGGTTGCGTTGATGTAAGAGCAAGTATATATGTGTGAAAAACCGACCTCGTCGATACTGAACGTCTTTACAGCAAATGACACATAGTTTATGAGTAGTTTGCGGCGATGGTTCAATTTTCTTTACCTTCTTGATCAGTGTGGTCGGCGCTGAAGTTCGTATCGGCTCCATACTCGTGACCGATATTGCAATTAACTCAACTTTCTATGAAACTACAATGTCTACATACGGTGTCTACATGTCACTAACGGCTAATAAACTAAACTAAAAACTACTACACTTCTTGAAAGAACTGGAAACTACATTTTGCTCAGATGTTTAAAGCCTGTAGACGAATACGGAAATGGCTGACAAGTTGATCTTTAACACGACCCACAATGTTTACCTCATTATGCAGCGCACACGCCCCCACTCTATTTCTGTATCTGTTCAGTGATATCACTGCATATCATGAATAAATAATAGCAATAGCTTAGCTGCAAATAAGACCAGTCTGTGGTGGTTTCGCATTCACCCCACCTTTCGCAAAACTATTTTTTCCAATTTTTTTTATTATTATTATCATTTAACTGAAAAAAATCAGCACAGCTGGACCAGTCTAACCTGTTGGCATAGGCAGACATGATGATATCAACAGAAAAGTTAGAATATATAAATGAAATTTATTTAAAGTTAAATTTACTCTTCTTAATCTTACCATATTTGTCTGACTTAGCACTCTGGATACTAATGTGAAAATTATTAGGGTTGGTAGGGAATACAGTCAAAATATTTGAATGTGTTCTATCAATATTAAAAGCAAACAAAGCCTCTATATCAGATTATGTGGTGAAGTTTAATTTTCACCATTCTAAAAGTTAGAATATATTATTGAAATTTATTTAAAGTTAAATTTACTCTTATTAATCTTACCATATTTGTCTGACTCAGCACTCTGGACACTAATGTAAAAATTATTAGGGTTGGTGGGGAATACAGTCAAAATATTTGAATGTGTTCCATAATATTAAAAGCAAACAAAGCCTCTATATCAGATTATGTTGTGAATTTTAATTTTCACCATTCTAAAAGTTAGAATATATAAACGAAATTTATTTAAAGTTAAATTTACTCTTCTCAATCTTACCATATTTGTCTGACTTAGCACCCTAGATACTAATGTAAAAATTATTAGGGTTGGTGGGGAATACAGTCAAGTCAAGAAAGTTGAATGTGTTCCATCGATATTAAAAGCAAACAAAGCCTTTATATCAGGTTATGTTGTGAATTTTAATTTTCACCATTCTACTTGTTCTTTATAGTTTCTGCTTATGAAGGCGATGCGCATCCCCTTGGTGCTTTGCCAATTGGTACACTTGTCAATTCTGTGGAGATATTTCCTGGACATGGAGCCACCATAGCCAGAGCTGCTGGTACATGCTGTCAAATAGTACGCAAAGCTGGAGGACAAGTGATTGTACAGATGCCGTCCAAGCAACAGATTAGTGTCAGCGAGAGGTGCATGGTAACTGTTGGCAGAGTCTCCAATCCTGATCACAATAAGTTAATTCTTGGTATGTTTCATTAGTTGTATAATCAGTCCCCATTCTGATGAAGTCTAAAACGTGGACAATTACTGACATCACATTAATGGATGGAACAATTCAGCAATATTGACAGTAAAGTCCCAGTTGTTAGTGATCCACATTTTTCATGTAAACAAATGCATTTTGCATACGTCTTGTGCCCCATACAATGACCATTTATGTTCAAAGTTGATACACAGTGCATGGTGGTATACACATGTACTTCATTTTGTCTAAGTATGGCCAACTGGCAACCAATTTGGTCATAAATACTACTTAATCTTAGTGGGAGAGCATGTCTGCATCCACCGACGACTGATTTCATTTAAACATTTATTCTCTCTCAAACTCTTAGGAAAAGCTGGAGCTCTTCGTAATTTAGGATGGCGGCCTCAGAGTGGTTGGTGGCAAAGGAAAGGAGGCTGGGCGGGTAGGAAAATAAGACCTCTCCCTCCCATTAAAGTATACCTTGATCCAAAAAGGAAAGGAACACACATTGATTTATAGGTCTCTTCCTGTCATGTGACATCATCCAACCCAGTTCGTACCTAGATGTGTGAGGAACATTAACCATTCGACCTTGTATATCTAAAGATATACACCGAAGCATGATGTTTTTTTTAAGCCTGTAGCACTGTACAGAACATATATAATTGTATGTTGAAATAAAAAAATCAGTGTTACCTTTGTCTGAGGTTTGTGTTCGTCCTTCCTGAGGAATTAGAGTGTTATGTTTGAGTGGATACCACTCTTGGGCATGTGATCATCATTCTGGCCATGCGTTTATTATAATTCGGTCTCCGTCCGTTTGTCCGTGCGGAGTCATATCTCAGAATCCCTTTGACCGATCCCGTTCATTCTTTGCATGTGCCTAGTACTTTATGTGGGACGTATGCACATGCAGTGGTTTAGCGATTCGATTCAAAATGGCCGACTGGCAGCCATCTTGTTTTTTGAAAATGTTGTATTTTGGACATGCTTTGTCAGTTTTCATTCAAACTTGGTACATAGATTATACATGTTAGGATACATGTCCATGATGATTTATTTCACAATTGGATCAAAGTTGGCCGACTGGCAGCCATCTTGTTTTTTGAAAATGTTGTATTTTGGATATGTTTTGTCAGTTTTCATTCAAATTTAGTACATAAATCATACATGTTAGGATACATGTCCCCGACCGTCCGTGAGTTCCTGAGTCTGTCCAGAGTCATATTTCAGAATCCTGTGGACTGATTCCTTTCATTCTTTGCATGTGCCTAGTACCTTATGTGGGACATATGCACATGCAGTTGTTTAGCGATTCGATTCAAAATGGCTGACTGGCAGCCATCTTGTTTTTTGAAAATGTTGTATTTTGGACATGCTTTGTCAGTTTTCATTCAAACTTGGTACATAGATTATACATGTTAGGATACATGTCCATGACGATTTATTTCGCAATTTGATCAAAGATGGTCGCCTGGCAGGCATCTTGTTTTTTTTTTATGCGGTATCTTGGACGTCAGTTTTCATTCAAATTTGGCACATACATGTACTTTATACATGTTAGGATGGATGTCCATGACAATTTGTTTCAAAATCTGGTCAAGGATTGACAGCCATCTGACTTTTTGGCCTTACTACTATATTTCCACAATTTATGTACCATTTTCATTCGTATTTGGCACATACACCATACATATCAGTGTGTTTCATACTCGGATTAAAGATGGTCGAATAACGGCTATTTTTATTTTTGGCCATATTACTACTACATGGAACACGTGTTTTGATGTAAATAAACAATCTGTTGTATACACCACTTGAAACTCAAGTTTCAAGGACACGCTCGGGACAACCCCTCTGCTTTGATATGACGAGCACAAAGAGAACTTTCAAAAATTTTACAGGGACTGTCATTTTCAATGACTTGTTTCCACACTGGTCTTTTGTCTCTGTAGATTGTAATTACTACAGTTTTTTTCATATGCATATTCATATCATAATTTCAGTTTGTGCAAATGTGGTATAGTAATTTGAATGCATGTTAATATCAAGGTGAATGGGAGTTCCTAAATTATTAAAAAAGTTGGCCAAGTGGAGATCAAACCATTTTTGTATTGTAGTTTGTACCTATGACCCCAGATGTATGACAGAATGGTTGGAATAGCCATACAGATGTAGATGTTTCAGGAATACATTCATCGTCACTGAATAGAGCAAATGACACAGTTTATTGGCTTGAAACAGCAAAACAACTTTTAAGATTACCGGTAACTATACTAATATAAAACAAGTTAACTAGCCATACAAGCCTGGTGATATCTGACTGATGTATTTGTTATTCAATAAAATTACAGAAAATGTTGACTGGTTTGTTGTCTAACTATCAGGTTTTCTAAATAAAATCTAATAAAAAATAAATATTTTAGAATTAGCATTCTGTACACTAGGTCTGACTGCAACTGATATTACTAAATACCTTTTTTTGTAATGCAAAGAAAAAAATAATCTAAAACAAGTTAACTAGCACCCCCCCCCCAAAAAAAACAAAACAACAAAACAATGCCAGGCCTATCTAGTTGTCACCAGACAAAATTAAAGAAAATATCAACTGGTCCAACAACATGTATTTTCCTTGTTTGTTGTCGAACCTGTTCTAGCATGTTTAATAAATAAAAATAAGTTAAAAAACAAAATCTTCATATTTTAGAATTAGTATTATGTACATGTGGTATGACTGCAACTGACAGAGCGCTAAAAACAGTGAACATGACAGAATATTCAAAGTAATCTGTTAATATTCCAGCAAATGACATAAAGCTGAGTTTTCCCAGCACTTCCATGGTTGCACATGCTGTCCAGTGAGTGGCCTGTATGTTTTTTGGTGCATCTTGGGAGCACCGCATCATCAGAGTAAATGTTGCCGTAGTGATAACTCCACCAATGAACTGCAGCAGACACATTGAAAACACAGACATGCCTGTAATATGAAATGACAACCAAAACGTATTGAACTGTAGTTACTTTTATAGTATTTGATATGAACATAGATGTATACAAATTTATTCATATAAGCGAAGGGCAAATAAAAATTAATACATGAATTTGATATCATGTTTATCCCATCTTGCATTTTCGCAGCCCCTTAAGGCTGAAAGGGATAGTAATTTGTGTGTGCATATTCAAGACATTTGCATAACAGACCAGTGTTTATGAACAAATTACTGTTAGTTTTTCCCTTACTGCGATGAGAAACATAGTTATTTTTGGAGCTATCAAACCATTGGCCACTAGAAATGGGTGAAACAATTTTCTGTGCACGAAGAAGTTAAGATTGGGAGAATCTGAAATGATATCTCAAATATATATCACGTTTTAGCAAAAATCTGAAACTGACAGAAATATTCGAGTTAATACAATTCAAGAAATATTGTGTATAAACCATCTTCATTTTAAGATAATGGCATATTTTGTGACAGTGAACCATGATGTCAAAAGTTCAATAATTACATACTGTAAAATTCATTAATTCATGATAAAAAAAATAAGTGGAAATTTTTTCTTGTGTTCTACTTAATAGAATAATGTTTGGTTGATTCAAAACAGACATAATATTTGTACAAGTTGGATTACCCATGGCATCCATGTAACGTAGTGAGAAACATGACGTCCTTCAAGCTGAGAACGATGCTTACTATGTTGAAATCGTCCCAGGTATGATTTTGCAATCTTAGATTGGGAAATGTTGTAATGTCACGTATATACGACAAGGAATGTCATGTTTTGCAACATGTTTTTTTTTTTTTTTTTTTGATAATTATGATTTCCATGCTATGTTTTGCTTATACAAATTTGAATCTTTTTTCTACATTTACCACTTTTATTAAAAAAAAAAAATTAAGATTACCGGTACTGTCATGATGTATGGGATAAAAATCTTTATCATATTTGCTCTATTAATAGTGCATATTTGATTAATTGGATTTATTGTACACTAGATCATTAAAATATAAAATGACCACAGACACACATATGTCATTTACAAAAAGTGCATGTGGTACTAATAGAACAAATACAATATACATGTACTCCATAAACAAAATTACATGATAGGAATGACTTCGCAGACCGGGATCCCTTCTGTCTGTCAGAGACGAAATACACTTTCAACTCACCAAAAAAGGAAGTACTTTCTTTATCTTGAAAAGACCAGATAATAATATTCATAATAAATAGTGGTAAAAGTCTGAGAATAAATAAAACTTGTAACATCGATATTGGTCTGCACCTGAAATATAAAGGTAATTGTTTGGACCATAATGCATTGCAGTTTATTCGTTGGTACGGTCATGAACAGGATGTTTAAATGAGACAGTCAAACGGTCAATCCATAGAGATAACAAAATCAATTCAACATTATCTATGTAACATTCATTCTAGTAGCAAACTCTGTTTTAAAAATATCAATGAAATTGGAAACAAAAACTGAAGTTTATTAATCACCAAACAACTTACTTTGTGCAGGAAAGAATATAACCACCAAGAAGTGACCCTAATATGGATAAACTTTGACCTATGACCCCAGTCCATAATCCAACACTGCCAGCAGACATCCCATAATCCACCAGGAATAATGGAAACATTCCATTGGCTCCCTGCTCACCTAAATAATGAACGTACAGAAGTGTTAATGTTATCCGTGTAACATTATCATTTAGTTGCAAATCTTCAATCTCAGCTTGCTGCAATGACTGAAGAACATAACCTGTACAAAGTTAGCTTCACTCTGGTTGCGCAGTAAGTTGTTTCTTTGAAATTCCTCAGACGTGATAAAGTCTTGAGGATGTGGCGATGTAATTTGCATTTCATTAGCATTGCACTACCTAATTTTGATAAAGCAATTCAACCTTTTATATATGAAAGGATTATGATAAACCTTTTACACTAGATGCCATTTATTATCATATCTATGAAAATAATTTATGAATAAAGTGTTGCAGAAGGCCTTATGTACAGGGATAGGAGTTGCCATGGTAATGTTCTGAAGTCGTGGAAACAGCAAATATGTAATATGTATTACAGTAATCTCCAAGTATGAATGGATTACAGAAATCTATATATGTGAAAGTATTATGGTAACTTTTATATATTAAAGGATTACAGTAATCTCTATATATGAAAGGATAATGGTAATCTGTATATATGAAAGGATTATGGTAATCTTTATATATAAAAGTATTACAGTAATCTCCAAGTATGAATGGATTACGGTAATCTATATATGTGAAAGTATTACGGTAACTTTTATATATTAAAGGATTACAGTGATCTCTATATATGAAAGGATAATGGTAATCTCTATATATGAAAGGATTATGGTAATCTTTATATATAAAAGTATTACAGTAATCTCCAAGTATGAATGGATTACGGTAATCTATATATGTGTAAGTATTACGATAACATATATTAAAGGATTACAGTAATCTCTATATATGAAAGGACTATGGTAATCTCTATATATTAAAGGATTACGGTAATCTCTATATATGAAAGAATAATGGTAATCTATATATATGAAAGGATTATGGTAATCTCTATATAATAAAGGATTATGGTAATTTCTATATATAAAAGTATTACAGTAATCTCCATGTATGAATGGATTACGGTAATCTATATATGTGAAAGTATTACAGTAACTTTTATATATTAAAAGATTACAGTAATCTCTATATAT